ATGCTGTAGTCGGCAATCTTCCGTTTTGGTATAGAGTGGGACAGGGAGAGGGGGTGATGCTACTGTGAACGGTGGGACGGACGTGCAGTTCAGTTTTTGAGCACGCATACGGTGCTGCAGGGACTTTTAGGTGTACCTCTTCGGGCTCTTGGGTACCTTTTTCTCGTTATATGTGTGCGTGTTCTTTAGATTCTCAGATGGCTCTAGCACTTCCGTGACCACGGGCTGAGAGTCTTTTGCTAGATTTTGGCATTTAGCAACTGACATACGGTTTAATGTGAAGACAACAACAACAACAACATGTAAAGCATGCGCACCACTTGGATTCGCTCGAGAACCTTGAGTCCAGGCATATTTTTCGTCGCGTAGTGTAGTAGGCTACCGCCGTAGCGCAAGCGTAGATGATAGATGGTACAAAGGGCCTTGGCCTTGCTTAGCGGTGGTAGTGCGCGACAAGGCTGTGTTTTTTCTGGAACCTTGGCCATCCCGTGGAACGTTCCGGAAGTCAGGGACCGTTCCAAGTAGCAACTGCATGGCAGCGAATCGAAGAGTGTTTTTCTAGGTTTCTAAACAACGACGAGCAGCCCCAGTCCGGGTATCACTTTTTCATGCAAGAATATTTGCACCAAAATCCCATCCATGAAACTTCAATTCTACCAGCGAGGGCATGTGGTTTCACCTGCCGTGGGTTGTCAACATTACACCGACACTCGTCAACTCTGCTGCCCATCTATCTATCACTGCTCGTTCGTAGCGCACCCAGCAGGTTGCAACGTTTCTACTTTTCGTGATGAATCTCGCGGCCGTTTGGCACACTTGAACGCAAACACAAAATCAGGCAGTGGCGGCAGACGACGTACGATGTTCCAGTATGACTCCTGCGATCGATTGACCTCGGCTTTGCATGCTGCGCCCTTCACGCCCTCGACCCAAAAAGCATGCTTCGACCTGTTCATATGAAGATTATTGCCGTGCAAGGTGGTCGACGTCATCAGATTGCTCTCGCGACAGTCTAGGGCGATGCCATTAAGGTGCTCGACGTACTCAAAGCCGTGCTCGTCGGGCGATCCTGTCACATGAAGCAGCCACCGATGAAATAGGGTAGACTGACTGCCAGGCTTTTTGCACCACTGGGCACGAACTGGATAGTTTTGGCTCAGAACACCGGTTGAATCGTATCGGTCGGCGTAGATTGAGTTCCCTCCTTTGTGCAACTCATCCATAACGCGGTGGATATGTTTTCTGTCGAATACGAGGAAGGCGGGAGCGTTTTCTGTTTCGTGAGGGGTGACGTCTCCCAGGTGGACGACAGCAAATGTTTCCACGAACGATACGATGTTTCGCCGTGTCTTGTGCCCCGGATTTTTCGTTGACGTCCGCCCCTTCACGTCCGCAAACCGGGTTGTCGTACCAAGCTCGAGGTACCAGATACTGTCCAAGAAAGTCTTGTTAAGTAGAGGGTGTTCACAATCTAGGTTACGACACAGCCCGACCCCTCACCTTGGTGTCCGTCCACGTATACTGTCATGACGTAGATGCGTACCAGCACTTGCGCGGGCAGAGTATCGGCAAGAGCAGTGTGCGCGAACACCGAGGAGCGTACGAGTGGTGGCATAGGGCTACCCCACTCTGGCTGTTACGCGCGGAAAATCATCTATCTAGAGCACCGCTTTTCTGGAAGCATTTTCGATGGCCTTGGTCGAATTCATTTCGAACCGTCCCTGTTTCCTTTGCGGTACGACAAGAAAACGGTACGAGATGAGGTGCGTGAGGTACACGTAACAGGAGAACCACCGGGCCACCGTTCTCCACGGTGAGTATGAAAGGCAGGTAAGTAGCGGGAGAGGGAGCTGTGACAGCTTGGCTTTCTAGAAGGCAGCGGTCTTTCAATATACCCACCGTTTTTCCACGGGGCGACGCGTTGAGGTTCCGCGTGGTTTCTTCGGGTAAACTTGCGTAGCTCATACACTCGAAGGATTTGAGGTTTTGCGGCTTGCTCGCCGACGATATGAAAAAGTCGTCTCCACAAAGCTGTTTGCGGAGGGCTACATGGGCTCACTAACAAAAACTAAACGGAAGCTGGGGGATTGTAGGCTGGGGTGGCACCGCATCCTGTCTCGAACATTCACGGAGCCCCGTTGGAACCTAGAGCCACCCAGGAGAGGCGCATTCCCGCCTAGGTGTAACGCACGCTCAAGCAACGCAAAGAGAGAGGCGGTTCCAACCTCGGGTCGCCCCGTTTATAACTCCGCAATGAACGTCACCGCACACGTCAGCTTGGTTGGTGCTTGAATTGTAACCCAAATCCGAAATCTAAAAATCGGGCAAATATTACTATTCGAAGCGACTTCACCACCGAGTCACAGATCTTACACTCAAAAGCATGTCCGCCGATCACTCCGGGAGACTTCACCGACTAATTAAATCACGAGAGCCCACAAAAATAGATTCTTCCGGGTGGGCACATACGGACCCTACACTCCGAAGGATGACTCCGCCGACCACGAAAGCCGGGGGTCATGAGTGACTTCACCGACTACTTCTATCACGGAGACCACAAAATCAATTCTTCTGGGTTGGCACAAAAATTGGCGGTGAGGTCATCATTTCCCCCTCATCATCGCTGCCGCCCCCCTGATTGACTTCATCGCGCTCATCTTTGCTACCAACTCATTGGTGCGCTGTTTGAAACGATGGACAAACGGAGGATGACGGACAAACGGCACGTAGCGGAAGCGGATGTTGACCTAGCGTCAGGCGACCTTGCGTCAAGGAAGGTCAGCAAAAATAGAGTGAATCGGGTTTGTATCTGCGGTCGAGTTTGAAGCTACTAGAGTCTACCCAAAACAAGCACAGCCTGACACGACTTTGCCCACCGTTTCACCTGCCTCAGTACATGACTTTGGCGACCACTCCAATACCCAACGCCCAAGATGGACGACATATTTCGTCTCTCTTGGGATGGGCCAGTCGAAAACATTACCCGTTCCAAAAAAAAAAGTTTGAGATTTGGTGAGCCTACAGTCGAGACTTTTGTCCCCGAAAATATGTCGCAAGGGATCACTGTTAACGTGGAAATGGTTTTGAAAATCCAAGTCTGGGAAATTCATCCCAGCAGGACCTGCTTGACCTCCAGCCTGAAGTTCCTGCAACCATTTAGTGACACATCACACAAGTGGTTTCTCTTCATGAATCATGAACTACCAGTCAGCCGATTCCCACTTCGGTACGATTCGTATGGCACCTAAGCGTCAAATCATTTCAATGAGGTGCTCTTGTACTTCCTAGTCTGATTTTGAGCATTCATTATGGACTGATCATTTCCTCTTGCATTTGTTTCTCCTCGAAAATTTTTGGATAAGCCCGAAACATCCCATTCCATTGACCCGCCAGGAACGGTGACATGTTGCGTCCGAGTCTGTCAACGACAGTGTTTATTGTCATAACTCTACTACTTCTAATGACCGTGTTGAAGTAGTGATCCGAGACTCTCTGAGAATCCCAGTAATTGTCCTGGAAGTACTGGAAATACCCTAGACTAGTCGACGCCTTCACATTCGAGTTCATCACGTTTACGTACAATAGCTTCTCGAATTTGTTAACGACTGACACGTATTGGTGAATGATGTTGGCCTGGAGCAAAAACTCTTCGTGCAGGGCGTCCTTGATCTCGGCGTTTTCTTCGCAGTCAGAATCCTCGTAGTACGTGGGAGAGTAGTTCGCCAAGAACTTGTAGCCGTCGAACACATAAAAATCTGAGTCTTGAACTTCGTTGTCCCTTTGCTCTTTATGTTTTTGACACTGACGCAGAATCTTCCACCTGTTGTAGACTTGGTGGTTAACTGCTTCGGTAGTGTAAAAAGCTGACATTCTTTCCAATGCTTCTTCTTTCGTACCCACCATCTCAATCAGCATCTCTACCGTTATGTGGGACGTGTCCTCTTCACCATGTTCATTGATGCAGTTGGGCTTGTCTTTTGACCGACCGGTCTGTCGTATGGATCCTCGCTCGTCGATTACTTCCCCCGAAACTTCGTGGAATGACGAAACGTCCGAAACAATCGCCGATTCTCCGCAGATGTCATACACTTTTGTGGGGGACACCCTAACAGCTGTGCATGATGTCTGGATAAACATTCGCACATGACCATCGCTTTCGAAAATTCCAGCATACCCGATTTCGTAAGCTGCCGATATTCGACCGAAGATGTGGTCAAAATCTACAACACATCCTTCTCCGAATGTGTAAGATTGAACGAAGGAAATCTGGGGTTTGTGGCGCGGGACTGAATCGTACAGTGGCAAGTAAACAAGAATTAGCGGGGAAGTTTCTGAGGAGGAAAGGGTACCAGAAGAGAGATGTGGTGACGTGGTGGAGTACACTTGTTCGCAGAAGTAGCAAGCTACAGGAAGAGGGCACACTGCAGCTGCTCCTGTGAGACGAAACGGGGAGCTGCTGTAGAGGTTACCGCGGTCTACTTTAGACACAAGGCTT